TATGTTTGGAGATGTATTTCACTTAAAAAATATTACAGTTTTGGGAGTGAAAAAGAATTCTGAAATTCTGAAAAAGTGATCAAAACCACTTTTTGGATTTTGAAAACTCATTTTCAAAAAGAAAATTTCAAAAACTTGTAAAATTTCATGCATAAACACATTTTTGAAAACAAAAATTTATGGACAAACGGGGCCTAAGATAACTTATATAATTTCCCTTAATTTTACTTTTTTTAAAACAAAGTAAGACTAGATAAAGACAACTATCTGAGTGTCTTATGGTTTGAACTTTACATTTTCTGACTGTTTCTACAAGACAACAGATTTCCAACGACTCTAGAATAAATTACATATTTTAAAGAAGAATAAAATCTTGATCAGATATGGTATCTACGGATCTGTATTTATTTAAAGTAAAGTTTGTTTTAGTTTTTCAAAAAAGATTGAAAGGAAGCATAAGAAATGGCCTAAGATTCAATCATCGGCCGTCTGCCGGCTCTAATGATTTAAATAACAATATAATATCTTGAACATAGTTAATGGAGTCTAGCACATATAGCAGTATATCCATATAGCCATATTATATAGGGTGCTATTTCTACATATTTTAATGAGTCTAGTGTAACCCCTCTTTTTTATATATATCTAGAAAACCTGCCGGGAACTTTAGGTGAATTTCTCTTTTATAGCTATCGGTTGGTGGTTAATGGTCCTTCAAGATCATAATTACATAATATCCAAAAAAAAAAACTAATTTAGGATCTAAATTTGATAGATTTAATAATATTATAATACTAAATATTATTTTTTTTAAATTATGAATTCTGAATTTGATATATATCATACGTACTGTATAAAAATAATGAGTTCAGTTGTAAAAATAATATACTCAATAACTCTATATCTGTCTTTGCTCTTACCTACTCCCTCCCGTCCATATTATGTTTTTCTAAAAATATTTGCACACTTCTTAATAGATATATTAAATATTGTTGATTATAAGACATTTATTTTTTCTTAAATATCTCATTTAAACTATACTCTCCTAAATGGAGTAGTAACACTACTAAAAAAAGGGAAAAAACCGACATGTTAGTCGGTAATTGGCAAAAATCAATCGAAAATCGACCGATTCATGATAGTCGGTAGAGCCAATCGACCGGCTTCGATCGGTATTTTTTGACTGATTTCGGTCGGTCAATTAAATTTCGAAAATGACCAAAAAAGAAAAAACTACTGAAAGAACTGACTGAAGTAGGTCGATATTTTTAATTATGTAATTAAAAAATGGATCATTTGAGAATCGAACCGGGGTACTGTGGCTGAATACTATTCTATCACTTAGCGAGTGGTGCATTTTGATTTTAGACTTTCTTTTATTTTAAGCAAAATACATAAAGACCCCATTAAACTTGTCCAAAAAATATGTTTGAACACTTAAACTAAGCGTGTGTTCTTTTGCCCTCATATTCTTGTTCGGAGTAAATTAAATAACACCCTAACACTATAATACCAGTTTCACAATGTGATGTGTTTTATACACGCGCCACATCATTGCCACATTAGCGCCACATTAGAGTCATATCAGCACCACGTTAGAGCCACGTCAGAAATTATCTAAATTTTGATTTTTTAACCTTTTGTTTCTTTTTGTCTATTCACATTTTTTTCCTTACTCATTATTTATGTACACTAATAAATCACTAATTAATTATTAAATTCCTCTTAATTATAATTTTTTCATCGAATTCTCATCCATAGATACACTATAAATTTAAATCCCTTCGATCTTGGTTTACTCTCCTCTTTTTTTTCCTTTATCTAATTATTTTTAATTTTTCATTTCAATCTTCAACATCCTCTATGATTTTTTTTCTGTTCAACTAACCGTAACAGAGAAAATACGAGAAAATGCTAAATTAATTTTTTAATTTTCAGAAAAAAGAATATTCATTGAATTACAAAACATAAAAAAAGAAGAAGATGAGTCAGAACAAAATTTGAACAAAAAAGAAGAAGAAAGAAGACGAGGAGCACTAGGGGGCGCGAATGGAGAAGAACGACGAAGGGGGTTAGAAGAAAGAGAAAGAAGATGGGCGGGTTAAAAAAATGAGAGGGCCCAATCTTTATTTTATTTTATTTTTATTATACATTAGCAGCGGGCCCACTTTCTTAAAAATTTCACTCACTTTTATTTTATTTCTTTTTTCTTTTTCTTTCATATCAGCCTTTAGGGTGTTATTTAATTCACCCCGAACAAGACTATGAGGTAAAAGAATATTCGTTTAGTTTAAGTGTTCAAATCTGTTTATGGACAAGTTTAATGAGGCCTTTATGTATTTTGCCTTTATTTTATTTATACTTTTTAATTGTATTTTCGCGCGAAAATAAAATTACCGACCGAAATCGGTTGATTTTTAAAATGACCGACCGAAATTACCGACGGAAAACGGTCAATTTTTTGAATATTAATTTTACTTTAGTTTAAAGAAAAAGCTAACCAAAGTTGGTTGGTTTCTTAAAAATAAATTTCGCGGGATGCAAAAATAGTTTTTCGTAATTTTGCGCCAAAAAACAGATAGAAGTCGGTCGGTTTCGTAAAAAAAATTTGATTTTTTTTTTTTTGAAAAACCGACCGACTTCAGTCGGTTTTTCGACCGATTTTTTGATTGACTGCGGTCGGTTTTGATCTAATTTCTAGTAGTGTAATAACGATATACTTGAAAAATAATAATAAATAATCCTTTCTTTTTTTTTTATTTAAAAAGGTCAAATATTATGAAACATATTTAATTTTGCCAAAATTACTAAAATTTGAAACTAGGGGAGATTATCAAGTAAAATTACTTGAATTACACGTCAAGAATCTCTTTTACAAGTCGAAATATTCCTGTTTCCTTTTTCCTGTTAGTTTATTATTAAAGTGTTTGTAGAAAACTAGAAGGTGAAAACTAATTTGTCACGTTTTTCAATTTGCACTTTCTCATGATGGTCCTTCTACCACAAGATAATGTACACAAGAAGACAAAGGCATAAATAAATTAAGCCATTTAACAGCTAGAGGAAAAAGGCAACTTCTGTATCATGTGTTGAGAATATATACACATCAGAGAATCTACCAGTGATCATATCTTGACTTTTGAATGACAGCTCGACTTAATAGTAAGAGAATTAATTAACCGGAACGGAAATTTCACAATAGTTATAAACAGTTGCATGAATCTTGAAAATTTTGAGTACCTTCACTTTACCATGCAAAGTTGAAGTGGATGTCAACTTGTCAAGTTCAAAATTCCAGCTTCAACAGTTCCATTTTCAATTAGGATTTCACCCACTGAATTCATGTTACCGTGGTAACAAAGAGAGAAGCTACCGCGTTCTTGTATTTGAATATTAAACTAAAGCATGATGTGCAACTTCAAATCATATATGTTCTAAACAAGGACTTATCTTTTGCTGGTGTGTGATTACTAAAATCAAAACAAGGCAAAATTAAGTTCATCTGGTTGGGCATTGGACTTGGACACTGGCGCTTTCTGCTGCTTAGATTATTTGACAACAACTTCAAGGAGTTTCTGGGCCTAATTCTGCCCACAAGTAGTCCAGCCAATATTATCACTAAAATTTGTACATTATATCATACTATTGGGCCGCCACAGATATACAGACAACAATAACAATTTGGACAACCATCTATTGCCTATTACAAACATTCTTATCTGATGTTATAATTGTTTTGCTCCTAATCTCTATATTGAATCAATTTTCTCCTTGGAGCTTACGAAGCTTAAGAACGACGTTGTCTTCTATCTTTACCTGTGGCCAATAAAAGAAAATCCAGCAGTCCAAAGACTTACAACTAAAAATAAGGAAACGAATTTTGGGGAAAACAAAACCTGAACAAGAAATCTAAATGGAACACAGAAAAAGTACATTCAAATTCAAAGGATAAATAAGTGCGGGTGGAACACAGAAAAAGTACATTCAAATTCAAAGGATAAATATAAGTGCCCCTTCGCAGGATCGAACTACAGACCTTCAGTTTACAAGACTGACGCTCTACCACTGAGCTATAGGGGCTTATTTGTTAAATTGTGAGTCATTACAATATTTAGTTCATAAGTCTTGTATACGTATCGACACATTTCAAGAATTAATTAATACGACTTTCATGAGGACGTTAAAATAATGCTATCACATGTTGTGATTGGGACCCTGGGCTCCAGGTTTAGTCAACAAAGGCCCAATTCATTAGATCCCATCTTCAAGACTAAGGCCCATTTCATACAAAGACAACAACAAACAAAGGGAAAAACTATACAGTATAGCCGTTCCAAAAAATAATAGCCAGAAATTTATATATTTCTTGTATATTAACGTATAATATGATATACTATGCATATCTTATAGTATATATTTTTGGTTTATTTGGCTATTCGATGTAATTATTTTTGATCGGGCGGTCAAATGTGTAACTTGCCCAGTTTAATTTAGTGGTAGTTAACACAACTCTTTATACTGTATGCTGCATATAATAGTGGAGTAGCAAACAACCAAATAAATAAAAAAAGATACCAGACTGTAGGAATGTTTATTTACTTAATTAATTTTGGATGAACAGCGATGTGTACTAAAGTAATGAGGCAAATTCTTCCTTTTAATTTAAACACACGTACTACTAGTCAAGCAAAGAGGTTTATTAAGTGGGAAAATAAGTCACGGTGATGGTGACAATATGGACCTTAATATTTCCAGTCAAAATTGGATTTATAATCAGTTTACAGTTATTAATCCCAATTTGACCCTAATTATCAACTTATTAAATCAATCACTCCTTTTCCCTTTCCCTTTTCCCAATTTGATGATTTTGTTTTCTTTTTTGGTTTATTTTTGGAATGGGTCGATTTATTTTGTTGGATGTAACGCCTTTCCGTACAAGTTTACAATAGATAGGGGAGTAAGTAACAGAAGAGCCAAATTTGGAAAAATAGTGAGCGCTAACGCTACTAATATAGTCTTGTTTTTCCTCGTCCTTCTCGTCTTCCAATTGTTGCGCCGGTCGCCCGGCCCCAAACAAGACAAAGAGTATACTCTTAAGAAACCCCACAAAAAGAAAACAACTATAAAATATTGCCACTCTGTTTCTCACTGTTGTTTAGCTTTCTTGCTTTTTTCTTTCCCGATCAACATCAACAAACACCTCCTTGTGTTTTTCTTAGACGGCCATAAAATTTCGCTCAACTCTTTCTTTCTCACCAATTCTGAAAAATATGAATGACCTGCTAGCGGTTAGTTTATTTTCTTAGACTCCTGTATACTTTTGCTGTTTTGATTACTATGAAATAAAAAAAAATGAACTTTTTTGTTACTTCTATTGTTTAGCCTCCTAGATTTCAGTTTTTATGATCATAGTTTGTGCTTTCGTTTAATTTCGTTGTGAATTGAATTCCGTATCTTAAGTTTGCTTATACTAGTCTGGTGAAATTTGTAAAGATTGGATTTTTATGTAAGTTGGTTTGTTATATCATATGTATCAACTTATTACTTGGTTATTCAACTAGTAAATATGTCTTTTTATGCACCCTAAGTGTGTGGTGGGTTGAGAACCATGAGGTCTCGGTTCAAATCGTTGGGTAACAGAATTACGTGGTACATGTGTGGGAGGTAGCAGTTATCCTATAGAATTAGTCGAGCTACGTGCAAGCTGGTTCGGACACCACAATATCAAAATAAAAAATCAGTCTTTTTATTGTAGAGTTTGAACGAGAATTAAGGTTACTCCTCCATATCCTTATTTATTTAGTTATGCTTTTTCTTGTCTTTCCTGCTAGCTATTGCCTAACTGCAGATATATTGATAAATTGGAGTTTTTGTTTGTTCTCCTAATAATTTTGTTTTGATATTTATGTATATCACATATTCACATTATCTTGTACTTCAAGCACTTGTTATGAACGTTTGTACATTAATCGTTGTTTGGCTTCAAGTAAGGGGAATTATGTTATATTGAGATTTATTGTTTTGCAATTTTTGTTACTCTTTCAGGATTCAAGCTTCGTTAGTGCCAAAGATAATGCTTCCAAAGAATCTGACATTGAGATGGGCAATCGGTTTACGAGGAGCCAGTCAGATTCAGGAATGGACACCTTCAATAAGCAGGTATTACTTCATTGACCCAGGAGTTAGTTTAAGATGATCGAAGTAGTGCAATTCTCATATAAAGATAAACTTTAAGAACCAAATTTTCACACGTTTATTCTCTGATCGCCTTGCTTCTCACATATGTTACTTTCCCTTGTAGATACAAGAAATCGAGAAACAGGTTGATAAACTATCTGGTTTGCTGAAGAGCCTTAAGGTATTTAATCTGTTATAATTATTATTTTCCTTATCAAGTAAGAGCCTTAAGGTATTCTCATACATATTCTGTGCCTTTTTTAATAGTTTTAATTGCTTTTCAGAAGCCATTTGGATCTATTTATACTTTCTTCTTTTGAAAAGCTGCTATGCTACCTATATATATTGTCCCACTGTTAAGACAATGAAGTCTTGGCTCCATTGAGGCCTGCTTTTGCATACTTTAAATTTTCAGTAAAATTGGTTCTGGCAAATTGAGTGAATTGAATAGCTTTCTTGAGTTGTAAGGGTATATTTCTTTTACAATATTGTTCCAGAGTACTGTTTGAGGTAGGTAGTCACATTGGTTCAAAATCTTTTCAGCTGTGTTTCTTTTGGTTGTTTGGGGATGGGGTTGAGGGTACTATCTTGTAATTCAGTTGATGGGCTCTTGAAAATGACATACTCAAGGGAACACATAGCGCGTTCACAATCTGCAAGATCATCAATTCAGAAGATGTTCCGGTGATTTGGCTGACAAATACTCACTTAATCTTTGAGGTTTACCAAATCTGGAACTTGAAAAATGAATTAAAGGCTTGGGGATAAATGTACATTGAAAATAACATCCCCTGATGTACTGTGGAAGTCTGTTGCTTAAGAAGAACTATTGGTAGCTGTGTAATCGGTTTCATTATGCATTTCAAGCACTGATCATCACTATTATTGGAGAACTTAAGAATAACTATGGTGCTGCTTTAACTTTGTGATTCTAACTCATTGTATGCTAAGAAAGATGACGGATTAAGGGACGGAACAGGAACATGTGATGTGAACTTGGGTTCAGGTTTTTCTCCTTATGCAGGAGAAAAGTAAAAAAGTAAAAGGAGGCAGTTTTGCACCCAAGGATGTGAGCTAGGGGTCAATGAAGTGGGTTAAAACCATTGTAGGAGAAAAGTAAACAAGTAAAAGGAGGCAGTTTTGCACCCAAGGATGTGAGCTAGGGGTCAATGAAGTGGGTTAAAACCATTGTAGGAGAAAAGTAAACAAGTAAAAGGAGGCAGTTTTGCACCCAAGGATGTGAGCTAGGGGTCAATGAAGTGGGTTAAAACCATTGTAGGAGAAAAGTAAACAAGTAAAAGGAGGCAGTTTTGCACCCAAGGATGTGAGCTAGGGGTCAATGAAGTGGGTTAAAACCATTGTAGGAGAAAAGTAAACAAGTAAAAGGAGGCAGTTTTGCACCCAAGGATGTGAGCTAGGGGTCAATGAAGTGGGTTAAAACCATTGTACACTCGAATCCCAACTAAGGTAGCAACTACATGCTAAAATAATCGAGGTGCGTACAAGCTAGCCCAGATACTTCTTTTGGACCCAAAAGATAATCTTTGTTTGCAGTCTGAGAAAATAGTTGGTTGACAAAAACTTAAGAGCCAACTAGGCAATATTTCATAAGGAATCAGAGTAGTTGTAGTGGTTACGACAAATTAGTCATAGCTAATTAGTATTTTGTTTTTCTTCTAATCTTTAAATAATCAAAATATCACCTCCGCAATGTACTGTAGAAGTTTGTTACTTAAGAAGAGTGTTGGCAGATGTATACTGGGTTTCATTCTACAGGAGATCGGAACTATTACTTGAGAATTTCAGAACAGCTAGGGTGCTTGCTTTAACTTTGTGATTCTGTTGGCTTGTATGCTGAGGAGGATGACATTTAAAGGATGGCGTAGGATAACAGTCTGAATATTGGTTCGAGTATGGAGGCTAGTTGGGGAAAAAAAGAGACTTTAAATTGCCCTTTAAATGGCAAAATATAATCTTCAATTCTTTATTGCCAGTCTGAGAAAATAGTTTGTTATAGAAAATTAAGAGGCTATTTGGAATTGGTATGGCCCTTTGTTCCAATTAGCTGCTAAAAGCAAGAAGTCAGGATAAATTGTTGGCTCCCTAAGAATGTGCTCTCAGACGAGTGTTTAGACAGCGGAGAAGATAAATAGGCTCGTGGTCATATACATTTCTTCTGCCAAAACAGCAGTGAGAGTAAAGGATTATGATGTATGTTCATGAGGTTTATACTTAGAGATTGAATAGGCAAAAACATCTATACAAAAACAAGACACCAAGCTAGTGGCCAGTGGATCTGGAATATATCAGTTGTGGTGGGAGAAGCAGGGAAGTGGATAAAGTGGGTTACTTCGACTCAAGGTCATTTTTAAAATATTAAGTTACCAACCGTTTTAATGCCCAAGGTTTACAAAGTAAGTTCCTTTTGATAAGTTGATAAAATAACTTCTATTACATGGATGGAACTTTCCAGATATGCTACTAGTCTACTACTACAGAAAGTTGGTCGTGGTGTGAGCTCATGAGTGGATTGATTAAATTATTTCCTTTAAAGTTTGGAATGCCTGACATTTTGTTCAAGGAGTTTGTTTGATTAGTTAATGCGTTTAACTGGACCTATATCAGTACTCTTTAATGGGGAGAGTTCGATAATTTCTTGGATTCATAGCTTGAGGATGTTTGTGTGTGTCCTTGGGTTCACTAAAACCTCGTTAACTTTCCTTGCATTTTGAAGCTAAATGCTCAAGTTAAGCAATTAATTGCATGTGTTCTGATCTTTCATCTGATTATAATTTCTTTACCCTTTCTCTAGTAGGAGATTATTTACTAACTGAAATTATCTTTCAGGATGCTAATGAGGAATCAAAATCTGTTACTAAAGCATCGGCAATGAAAGGTCGGATAAGTATTTCATATTGTTTTGTATATCTAACAGATTAACTATTCATCTTTTATTATTCTGATCTCTTTTACCTTTAAATGGTTATTGTATCATGAAAATATAACTGAAAGATAGTCAAGTTGGTCAGTCAACAGAAGGCAAACATTTTCTTAATCCATTTACTATAATACACTTGTGAAATATTAACATGGATAAGTTTATCTATCACTGAAGAGAAAATTGGCCTTTGTTCCTTTACTATGAACCTAAAAGGCAAGTTGATTTTTAGCCAAGTGCTGACTGACTTGCTATTAGAAGGCAAGTTGATATGTAACATATTTACTAGTATTAGAATACTTGTGTGGTTAAATATATGACTTTCAAATACAGCAGTTTAAGTTTGTCTCATCGAATTATTTGTTTCTTGATAATCTGTAGTCTGCTAACCACGAGTTCTCAAAAAGCGGTTTTATTTTTTTCCAGCTATAAGGAAGCGGATGGAGAAAGATATAGACGAAGTTGGGAAGATTGCTAGAAATGTCAAAGCAAAAATAGAAGCAATAAATAAAGAGGTAAAATTATTTATTCTCTATATATTTGGGTCACCCAAGCAGTTTTTGAGATCAATATTCATCATTTAAAAGCACTCTAATGGTTCACTTTTCTTTAGAACTTGGCTAATCGACAAAAGCCTGGATGTGGAAAGGGTACAAGTGTTGACAGATCAAGGACAAATATGACCAAGTACATTTAATGAACAGAATTTTTCATATTGCTTGATGTTGTTTTCCACCTCTTGTGCTTGAGCAAACATAATCATGTTCTTCCTTTTTATTGTTGATCTGCAGTGCCTTGACAAAGAGGTTCAGAGACGTTATGATAGAATTTCAGGTTTAGACAAGCTTTGTTATTTGGCTTGTGCTGACTTTTCTCTTCGATTTATTCGTTGTGATTTATGTTCTTCCAGACATTAAGGCAGAGGATAGACAACGAATATCGTGAGGTTGTAGAGCGAAGGGTGATCACAGGTTTCGATCCCACTTTTTATTCCAAAAGAAATATAACTTTAGACATCTGCTTATCAATGTATATATTTCCATATGTTGGTTGATCTAATAAGTGGTTTTATTCTTTTCTTATCTCACAACTGAACAGTCACGGGAACTAGACCGGATGAGGAGGTGAGTGGAGTACTGCGAATTATAATTCTGATAAATACAATTGCTTTTACTAATTGTTATTCTAATGATCATGTTAGACTATCAACAACCTGATAGAAACCGGAAACAGCGAACAAATCTTCCAAAATGCTATTCAAGGAACAGGGCGTGGACAGGTACCTCTTACTACATCATTCTCTTACAGTAAATACCTTACGCAGCCTAGTCAGCAAGTTTGTATGCACGACCACAGGCTGAATATATTTTATATACTTAGAGCGTTCAGTTTTGCAACAAATTGTGTGTTTCATTAAATATCATTTGTCTATCCTTCTCATTTTCTCCTCCTATTTCAGCTGATAATAAGCCCAATTGCAGGTCCTAAGCACCGTAGAAGAAATTCATGAAAGACATGATGCAGTGAAGGAAATTGAGAGAAAGCTTCTCGATCTGCATCAGATTTATCTAGACATGGCGGTTCTGGTTGAAGCTCAAGGAGACTTGTTAGATAATATTGAATCCCAGGTTTGCTTTTTAATCCCTCCCATTATTTCTACCTTAAAAAACGAAAGGGTCTCCACACCACTATATCGGATTTCTCAATGGAGATTTTGTTCAGGTGACAAATACAGTTGATCATGTCCAATCAGGGACAACTGCTCTTCAGACTGCAAAGAAACTACAAAGGGGCTCTCGAAAGTGCATGTGCATTGCCACTATAATTATCTTAATTATAGCAGCTTTAATAGTCATCCCCATCGTTGTCAAACAACCTTGGAAGAGTAACAAGGGCGCTTGATTGTTTGTGTTCGAGCTATGTTTGCAACTGTTTGTGTGTTTGTCTTTGGCTTATTGCGGGATAGAAAGTTAAACGTCTACAATTTCACACGAGTCGTGTTAGCTTGTCTATAGTTTCCTTGTTGATTATATTCTTTTGTTTTGGTCACTTTGTTAACTAGATCTTGGTGTAAATTGTCTGCAAATTGTCCATGGATTTGTGGAAAAGTATATATCTTTTTAAGTCGTAAAAAATATCTTATAACAGAATCTGATATGAATTCTGCCCTGTGCTAGAGATATTGATAGCGTAAAATGGACTAATCTTTTAACGGATAGCTAACCCCATCTTTTTTTTTGTGTCTATTTTTCACTTTTCTAGCTATTTGCATAGTTCGTCAAATTAGAGAGGTTAGAGTTGCTTATGTATTGATGTTGTAAGGTAAAAATTAAAGACAATTTATTACTAGTATTTTTTTTAACTAGCTTGATACAATTATTGTTTTAATGGCCACCAAGCTTCTTCAGATAATCCATTCATATAAACATATAGTTGATGATTCTGACCAACAAATAAATATATAAATAATCGAATTCAGAATTCAAATTTTCAGCTAGCGTTTCTAAGTTTTGTGAATCTTCACGCTTAGACACTGTTATTTTGCAAAGCAACTATTATTATATCAAAATACGGCTTTTAATTGTAATTTCTTAATTGACCTTAAAATATCAATTTTGTATACTGAACAAGATTTTGCAGTTTTGGAATTTTGTGAAATGTTCTCGATCGAAAAGACAATGAGGGAGGTATTTAAGCAGAAAAAAATCTTAGATTTTCAGAAGGTTTCGTTTGACTACGATTCTTTACATCTTCAGGAGGAAATGGACCTACTTTTCAATTGTTATTTTCAATTATAGCAAGTAAAAAATATTATTAGAACATGTTACATATTTTAAGATGCCTTAAAGTAGAATATCATATAAGGACGTACAGGATGTAAATTATATTTTTCTCAGGTATCAGCATTAGGGAGCAAATTTTGAGAAATGATGGATAAGAGGACGTTGAGCTTTGAAAATTTACTGTTTTAATTGATAGGAGAAAATATTTTGGAATTGCTTAAGTCAAGTGCTTAACTTTTTGTTGGTTCAATTTGTTTCTCTGGATTTATAGGTGAGATATGCAGTGGACCACGTTAACATGGGTACAGATGCACTTCAAACTGCAAAGAGCTTACAGAAGAAATCAAGAAAATGCACGATAATAGCCATAATTATTCTTCTGATTATTGCTGCCGTTGTCGTGCTCTCGGTTCTTAAACCTTGGAAGAAATAATCAGTAACACATAATCAACATTACTTGCTCTGAATTCATTTCTTACTGGCCTCATTCCCATACCACTCTCTTTTTTCTCTTCTTTTGTTATGTGTATCATCCTTTTTCTTTTCAAGTTGTATTTTTTTAGTAAGTTGCCAGTCAAATTGTCTCTGTGTGACCTATAGATCACGGGTTCGAGTCGTGGAATCAGCCGCTGATGCTTGCATTAGGATAGGCTGCCTACATCACCCTCCCGGGTGGGTTGCGGCTCTTTCTCATACATTGCATGAACGTGGAATGCTCGTGTACTGGCTGCCCTTTAATAAGTTGCCAATATTGCATATGGGATAATAAGATTTAACTAATGATTCTTTTCCTTACACTTCGGATAAAAATATTTCCTAATTGGTTGACTAACAAGTTTCATATTGAACACAATTAATGTTTCTCAGCTAACTTCAGGTAAGGGATAATCGGTTTGCAAATATTAAATCAGAGTCGATTAATCCTCAATGAGGTAAGGTCTTTGCTTCACATCCTTGAGTTATTATCTCACAAATCATTAGATTATTTCTTGGAGCTAAATTTTGGAGCCTAGTGAAAGGATCAACAAATTCATTAAGCAGCAACAGGAAATCGGGCACAATTTTAAGTCCAAATAAAGATAGAGATACAAATAGTAAACTACTAGGCAATTTGAGGGCCAAAATAATGCCCGAAATGATTCAAATCCCTGAAAAATTATTAAAAAGCTGAAAACAAAATTATTGCACTTGAAGTCCACAACTTGAAAATTGAGATTGTTCCAAAGCTCCCCACATCTTCTTCATCCTACAAAAGAACTCTCTTTTTGTCTCTTACATCCTTGCCTTTGCAATCACCATACTTCCATCACCCAAATTTGTTGTTCCTTCCCTTGTCCACTTCTCCTCAAATTGCTCCTCAGTCACTCCTGCAAATTACCAGATTTCACATACTCTGTTACTTATAATTCTTCTTGAATTTAACTTATATACACTAACTTTTATACTACCAGTGCATTTTAATCCATCTTAGTAGGTGATATGTTGTGACTTGATAGTATAATGTATACAATCAGTATATATGAGTTAAACTCATAACCTCTCTATAACAACCTTGTTTGTTATAATATTTTTTTGTTGTTACTGTAAAGTGTTGTTATAGAGAATATATATCATAATATGAAAATTGATTCCGAAGAAAACTTGGCCTTTACAGTGAAGTGTTGATATAAAGAATGACTGTTATAGGTTGGTTGTTATAGATAAGCATAAAAGATGTGCAAAACTTTAGGGATAGGGTAAGATGTTGTACCTTTGCCCATAGCAGCAGTAGAGGTGATACCTCCTTGGACAGTCCTTAGAACTCTATCATAGTAATTAGCACCAGACCATTTCTGATGAGCCAATGTGTCAACTCCATGGGCTCTCTCCTCTCTCTGTATTTTCTCCACATAGGCCAGCATTCCCCTCCTTGCGAAATCCTTAGCAAACGTGTCAACAATAAGGGCATCAGCATGAAAACCAGCCAAAGTAATGAACTGCCAACAGTAACCCAACTTGGCTATTCTTGGAATGAAATCCATCATTTGTGCATCATTCATTCCTGATGCATCCCAATTGAAAGATGGAGATAGATTATAAGCCAACATAATTTGAGGCCTCATTGACTTAACTCCCTCAGCAAATTTGGTGCATTCAACCATATCAGGACTTGAGGTTTCCATCCATATTATATCAGCATGGTTTGCAAAAGCCCAACCACGTACAACTGCAGCTTCTACTGAACCTTGAAACCTGTAGAAACCTTCTCTGGTTCTTGGCAAGTCCCAGTCCCAGAAAAGATTTGGAAGTCCAAGTCTTTCAGTAATTTCACGAGCTTGCTCATGTGAAAGGCATTTTTCAAAACTTGAATGAGCCATCCACTCGTTCAATCTCCTTTGCTTTTCGGACTCCGTAACGTTCATTTTCTTGATTGCATCCACCACACATTGAGAAAATGTCTTGAGTTCAGCCATTGCTAGCCATTTATCCTCAAGGGCTTGAAGTTCAGGCCCGGTTTTGCCCGCTGCCATAGCTTCGGACATAAGAGTAGCCAAACTTTTCCCCTTCAGATTCGGGTTCGATACACCCAAAATAAACTGGTGATCCCTTGTATCCACATTGGTTTGGATCAGGGTTGCTGCTACAGCATCAGTACGAGCCACAAGAACCGTTTCCGTTCCCATAACATCAAACTGCAATCTTGCAGCCACTAGCCTGTTGATGTGTTCACTGATAGCAACAAGAACTTTACCAGCCATATGACCACATTTCTTGGTCACAGATGACTGATCCTCAATGTGGACTCCAGCGGCACCGCGCTCAACGAAAAGCTTGCAAAGCTTGACAGTAGCAGTAGCACCACCAAATCCAGTATCACCATCAGCAATAATCGGCTTCAAATAATCAATAAATGGAGTTCTTGCCCTCTCTTCTCTACTCATGCTCATTCTTGCTTCCCTTTGTTTCCTATCATGATACTGTTGAGCCATAAACAGATGTTCCACTTTGTTTGGAACAGTATCATAAGGGTAATCAGCAAGATCAGGGCCTGGTTCATTGGATGTGGTGTGAGTAGAGGAACACTGCCAACCAGAAACATAGATGGAGTCCAAATGTTTGGCCATCATAGTAACTTGAACAGGGTCAAGTGCACCAAAAGTTCTAGAGGCAGTGCCATTGGCTTGGTGAGTTTTGAGTGTTCTCCACAGCTTCTTGGCTAACTCATTGGATGCATAGCTTTGTCTCATAGTACCTCTTAGTGCTACCACATCCCTAGCAGAATATGGCCTCTTGGTTAGCTGGAACCTCTCTGAGTTCCACCATGCTTGCACCTCTGCTACCTCTACTTCAAATCTCCTTTCCTCTTCCATTATCTGTTCATGCAAATATTCCACAAATTAAAAATACTACGTAAAGAAGCATATAAAGACATTGTTAGGCTCAAAGAAACCAAAGATACCCCTAAATTGATGTGATGTTATTCATTTTCAGAGGCGGATCCGGAATTTGAAGTTACTAGGTTCAGTATTCTAGTTCTTTGAGGTTACTGAGTTCTAAATTAAGAGTTTGTATATATTCAATAGATTTATTAAGAAAACTGGGAATCTGGACAGTCTTTTTCAAGAAGGTGTCACACTATTATTCCTATATAGCCTCTCTTTTTTTTCCAGCTACAAATGTAGTATTTTCGAACACCAAACAAATATCTTACAACAATTATCATGCCTTACTCATAAATAACTTGAAATCAACTATATGAATTTTCGTTGTTCATGTCGCTTCATATGCAAACAAATCTTGAATGGAAAACAAAAATGATGTTGAAATCTTACCATTGATGGAACTGAGAAAGATGCAGCCATGGCTAGAACTCAATATTTTTGTTTAGTGTACACAAGTTTGTTTCTATACAAATGCTATAATGAATTGTTGATGTAATGGCTGAGGAAAGGACCTCAATTTATAGTAGTGAAGATAGATGAAGGTTCTTAAAACTGATGCCAAAGGATAAGAAAAAGAAAAAATAATAATTTTCCACATCATTTCACCAATTAATTTTAGGTCTTATCTATTTATTTATTTTCATGAAGATAAAACTGAAGCTTTGCCTAAAAGGTGTAGATATCGAGGCAATGGCGGTTTCGAGCCATGGTTTTGCAACTGTGATTGTCCGTTTCCTTCTTGTATGACCTCACTCATTATAATTGTAACTACTTCTGATTTTCTTTTTAAATTGTTGCTTTTTGCACCATGCCACTCTCTCCTTTCCCTTTTGTCGTTGGTTTTCTATCTTGGGAGTAGATCCAGAAGGAACTAGTTGGATTGTTTAACTGGACATCAAAAAAATAACTAAATGGTATCAATTAGTAGTATATAATTTGTTTTCGATGATTAATACATAGGTTTAATTTCATTCTTCATACATAGAGAATTATCAAGTGAAGGCATGCATAATTTATGCATAGACGTAGAAGGAAGGGTGACAACGACTTAGAAAAAAGGTGACACTTGCAAAAGAATTCCCCATTTGTTCAAATTCAAAACGAAGAGGCCAAACGGAGTAGAAAGAGTCAAAGATGTCACTTGCATGTCATGCACGGTTCCAAGTAGATGACATTTGCGTAAAATACGTAGCCAGATCTTATCGCTCCAGCAGCTCGCTTGATCTCAGAAAGGAAAAACATTAATATTCAATTTGACGTTTGTACCAAATAAATAAATATTTTAAGTAATATATTTTATTGTTTTGAAAAAAACTAATATATTTTATTTATTATTTTTTTAATTATTTAATATTTAATTATAATTAAGTAATATGTATTGTCACTTTAGTATGTGATTATTATAGTTGATTTGTTTGTCGGTAAACACCAACTACGTAAAAATATCGTTCATCTCACCAAATATAGAAGTTAGCGTAAGGTTTTCTGAAAGAGTTATGTTATGAGTTAAAAATTAAATAGTTCTGTTTTATTTTATATGAAAATTATGGTTGTAGCCCGTTTATGCTCTTCATGAGTAGTAAAAAAATTAGACTACATTTTTTTTAGTTCTCGTAGAAAATAAGAGGAAACAACACATATTTTCTCTATCTTAGAGTTTAATGAGCGTAGCAGTAACGGATCTACATGGTCACTCGTGGGTGCTCAAGCACTTATTACTTTTGACCGGAACTTTGAGTGAACACTTATAACTAAACTTATTTACTTTATTTTTTAAAACTTTTATCGGCGAACACCTAAAACTTTAAAATTTTAGATCCGCTACTGCTGCGTAAGAATGCTTAATTGTAACTTCCCAACGTCCTATATGACAATGCAAAGGCAGAGTTTTTGCAATTTTCTAATGTAACCAATGTGGATAAACCCAAAGAAGTTGAACACTCCATGTAAATCCAAACTGTATTCCTTAATTAATGACTCCTGCAACTGTTCAACAAAATTGCAAGTACCCCAGAGAAACGCAAGTCCTCCGCTTTCTTGCACCAGGTGGAAGGCCGTTAGCGCAACACTTGTACGCCGCGGCTGCACATTATGTGGCAATCATCGCCATCGGTGGTCAAATTATGTGTAACAGATAAGGTTTTCGGCGGCCGGACATTCAGCTCTGCTTAATTTCTGTGTGTTGACAGCCACTCCTATTTCAGACGCTTCAATGTGTTACTTTATTAGATTTAACTATTTCATTCTTCATCTATGCATATTAGGGGTCGTTTGAGGGGTTTATAAGAATAATGGTGAATAAGGTATATTAGTAATGCAGGGATTAATAATGTAAATATTAGTTATGTAGAGATTATTTTTTATCCTTTGTTGTGGTATATTAAAAATTAAAAGGCGTTGCATAATTTTTAAGAAAATTAGTTGCTTACAAAAATGACCTCCATATTTTTTAGCCTTAACGAACTTTAAGAATAATTTTATCTTTAATCATGTTAATGCATGCATTAATAGCCTTGGTATCACTAATAATATGGATTGCGTACATATACATAGGATAATACCAAATATGTTGTATAATTAATACTTACATTAGTAATACGTAGGTTGAAAAAGTGTACCAAACAAGGCATTAGTAAAATATGCTAAAAATTCACTAGAAAAAATATACAGTATAATTTTAAATTACTGTTAATATTCTAATTTTTCCTTTATAAATATTTATGGTGTACAATTAAAATACACGAGAGATAGAACCTTCAGTATTTTCCGGGCTCTCTTCTCTACTGATTAAACTATGGTTTAAATTTATAATACAAGGGGTTGTCTGATATACCGCGAGGACCATTGCCGATTAGAGTTTTTTTTAATCGTAGTTCGACCAATCATACTGCTTCCGCTACAAAAAGATAACTATAAGTTCTCCTTTTGTAATTTAATTACGCGTTGTCTATTTAGTAGAGATTAACGTGCATCAACATATACAAAAACTATGTAAGTCTTGTTTAAGGTGACACTATTTGGCGGCACACTTACTAATCTCACGTGTATTAATATTTTTACGTCAGTGCAAGTGTGTAAGAATTAGAGAAACTCTATCACCAAAATAGAATCGACGCGGAATTACATCGTTTTCTAATCTAACGTCTAGAGTAATTCATCCGCCTGGCCAATATTTACTCTCTGTGGATAATTCGAATTTGAAATTTAAATCATGAGAAAATGACATTGTATAGCTGCCGTAAAAATAATAGTCGAAAAGATGTATAAAATTTGTATATTTTTTGTGTATATATATATTTTATATATTATATACAAAAATTATATAAATTTTATACAATTTTTCTGTTATCGGATATAAATAGTTTCTGGCACAGGTTAAAGTAATAATACCCCTTTAATCATGGATAGTTGCTGTCCTGAACAGGATATTTTAACTTTGGACAGTGATAATATATCATTTCTCTCAATAATAAAAAGAATCAAAGAAAAATAAAAAGGAAAGTAGAGAAGAAAAGTACACATTCGCCCACTCTAATAATTCATGATTAATAATTTTTATGTAACAATAACAAAACTTTTATCAGCTTGTTCCTTTAAAAATGAATTTCAGACAGAGGAAAAATACAAATAACCTAACAACCGTTTATTCTTTTCAAGAGCACGATCATGTAATGTAAATCCAACAAATAATTTGTCATATCCGTTGTTAATTATTTACGAAAAATGAAAGTTTAGGTTGACACTAAGCTAATAAAAATAACTCAAAAGATATTTTAGTTTTAGAGATATAAACATGGACATGAAATTGAAATAACAGGGTCGCTTAGTGAGGAAAGTAAGCAACTAAGCATGGGTGGGAAGATATACATGCCAGGCAGGAGGGACGTAGGTGATAACATTTATATTGGCATTATTTGTGTAGCAGATGTAGATGAGGCTCCTCTCCTTTTCCAATCTTTTTCAATAATTATAGGGTTTAGGCTTGTTTATACGTATCTCGATTAATATTATTAAGTACTTGTTACTTTCTATTAGTATAAAATCATATAATTTTGTCCATCAAAATTTAAATAGATTAAAAGAAATAACCAAGTAGTAATATTTTGTCTTTATTAAAATTTAAATCTAAAAACTTATAGTTCTCCGCTACTTTATTGATCGCTAGGTTTTGGGTGCCTCCTTTTCCAAAAAATTACATGGTCGCAAAAAAAAAAAGAAAAAAAAAACGGATAAGGGTCTGATTTACCCCTCTACTATCATAAATAAGCCTTATTTACCCTCCGTTTATGTTTTTTTATCAAAAATATCCCTATAGTTATATATTAGGTTCATATTTACCCTTACGCGTTAAAATGGGTTACATTTGCCCTTCGTTATACTTTAAGATTACATTTACCCCTCTACTCTTCAAAAAGGGTTACATTTGCCATTCGTTATACTTTCTTGACATATTTATCCTTACAATTATACCCTACATTTACCCTCATCCGGTAGATCGTCATATGGTCACATATTTAAGATATTTAACCCGCCCACCCAATTTAAATAAGGCTTCATTATGGTCAATTGACCCAGTTTAGACTTTACAAAATTGTATCTCTACAAACACTTCAAAATATCATTGAGTGATTCATGTCTCCTAACTCTTAAGTATTAAAGGAAAAAAAATTAACATAGACAAAGGTGAAATAATTAAATAAATCAATTAGAGATAACACTATAGTTTCGTNAAACCTAATGTATAACGGTAAGGATATTTTTAATAAAAAAATTTAACGTAAGATAAATAAGACTTATTTATAATAGTAGAGGGACAAATCAAACCCTTAAAAAAAGAGAAAATTCTAGAAGGTGATGGCAGGAAAGCTAGCTCAATAATGAAGCTTGATAAACCAAATAATTCATAAATATAAAAATATAAAAATATAAAAAACGGTGTGATATCTCCTTGGGATTGGCAATTTTCGCAAAAGTATTGGCTCGTCCATTAATGTGTGAGCCTTGGCACTTCAATTCAGTATCTTATGTCTACTTGCCTTTTAGCATTTCGAGGAAAACCAATTCTTTTTTAGCATAGTTTTGGACAATTCTTCTTCTTCTTCCTTTTCTTTTCCTACTTTTGTTCTATGTTTAACAGGTTTATATTAATTAAAGGCTAAACTATATATATTGCACGAGCTACAGAAACACTCGTGCTGTCACAAACTTTAAGTCGAATCAGAACAAAGAAACTCGACTATGAAATTATTCATAGGTATACTTTTCAATTCAGATATATATATATATATATATATATAGTAGAAGTACTTACATAATGTTGTAAGTTATAGAGGCTAGTCTAATTAAGAAGAGGCAATAGATTGAAAGTTAAAAGTTTTTACGCTAATATCTATTTACTTTGGTGCGACTGATTGAATTTGTGGAGATATTTAACCCCTTGCTAGCGTACAATAGATATTTAATGGCAAAAGAAAGTACCCGTGGATATATCGGTGAAAGAACACCAGAAAAATAAAAAATAATGTACGATGGTCAGAAAATGGTTGTTTACCGATGCAACGACGGACTTTTTTCCGTCGCTATTCCGAGAGACTTTCCGACGGAGTCCCTCGGTACTTTTGAACTTTTTAATTTCTAATTTTTTTAAAAAAATAACTGACGGACAACTCTCGGTAAAAAAATAATATTTTGACTGGTCAAAATTTAATTGGTTGTACCGATGCACTCCGTCGGTAATTTACCGACGGACTCCCTCAGAACATTTTATATTTATATTTCTGAATTATTTTTTTAGATACCGATGGTGTCTCTCGGTGCTTTTAAAAAAAAAAAAAATAAATAAAGATTATAGTGCTACTCAATCGTTATTGCATTTACATAATATTTTGAATTTTGTTCTTACAGTACCGATGGACTTCCGTTGGTAACTTAAATATATAATCTTATACATAATTATTTTATATTTTTTATTACACCATACCGAGGGAGGCCGTCGGTAAGTCCCTCGGTAAGTACTTATTTAATTATCTTAGTGGTTGATTAGCCTATTTATTAAAATTTACACTAAATGAAGGTAATTACACTACTTAAAAATATATTAGTGATAATTATCTTAGTAATTTATAATTACACAAAGTGAAAGTGAATTTGTAGTATCCTTAACTACATTGATTAACCTATACATTAATAGTTACACACTAAGAAGAAGTGTATTAGTTGTTCCGTAAGAAATATTAGTGATGGTTTATCTTATAAATTGATAATTACTGTAAGTAGAAGTGTATTAACGGTGTCCTTAAGTAACGTTAACAATTGATTATCATACACATTGATAATATACTAAGTAAACATGTATTAGTTGTATTTAGCTTGTTGATTGATAATTACACGAAGTATAAGTATATTAATATAAGTAATGTTGGTGATTAATTAGCATGTATGCATTGATAATAGCACTAAGTATTAGTGAACTAGTGGCATCCTTATATAAGTAATGTTAGTGATTGATTAACCTATACATTGATAATTATACACTAAATGGAAGTGTATTAATGCTATTTGTGAGAAATGTTAGTGATTGTTTATCTCTAAATTGATAATTAAAGTAAGTAGAGGTTTATTAATGGTATCGTTAAGTAATATTAATAATTGATTAG